CTGTCAGTATTGCTCATGTTTTGAAGCTGCAAATCACTTGTGACTGCTGTGGCTTAGAACTCTACCACATAGCTAGACCTCATTTCATTATCTTCAACTCATTCTGCTCATTTTCATCTGCACATGAAAGCCAAAGGCGCTGAATGTTTGTAGACTTTGCCATGATGGGTTTGGAATAAGGTTCTTCGTTGTGTTACACATCATTAACTTCTACCTTGCTGTTACCTTGCTGCAAACATGACAAAGTGAACCAGCACTCAAACTTCCAGTGGCTCTTTTTTTTTTGTAAAAGCATGAAATGAGGATGTTGCTTGTCCATGTTGCTGCTCCAGCTCCTGTCAGTGACCCAACCAAGGCTTTCACTTCTCTGACCTCATCTGGGAAGGTTTTCTTGACTTTGAATTCAGTTGTGTAAATCTCGTTCTTACTTTCTATCTTTAGAATGACAAGGTGTGTCATGTTATGTCTCTGTAATGTCACAGTCTGTGCTGGGGGTTGGGGGGTGCTGCCAGGAAAGTGTTTCTGCTCTAAAATTTGCCTCCAAGCCTCATCTCCTCAGTCCCACAGAGGGTTCTGCAGTGCCACTTCCCTGTGGAGACTGTGCCATGCTGGGGACAGTCAGTTCCAAGAGGGAATTCCTTGGCCCTTTGTAATTCACAGAGCTTTCTTTGCTTTTGGGATGTTTTTAAAGAGGAAGTATTAAACCTGCATAGAATTAAAGGAGTAGAATTGAGAGAAAAGCTGCAAGTGCTAAAGAAACCTAATGAAGTGTTCCTGAGAACTCCTTTCATGTCCAGCAGTGCATCCATCCTGCTGCTCCTGCTCAGAACTGGATGGGAGTGAAGTCCCGGGTGTGTTGTCTCAGTGGTTGCACATGAGATGTTCAAAATAGTGACTATACCATTTCAATCATGGAAATATTCTATTTATTTTAGTTCCATAACTTGACATTTTTTGAGTCTGTTCTGGTTTGCTTTGGTTTGTTTTTTAAAGGTCTCATTCCTCTCTTGGAAGGAAAAGTGACTGTTTTGTACTAAATTGTAAACTAATGTGCTTGTTTAAAATAAATTGCAAACATTTGGGCAAAATGGAGTGTTTGGGCTTTTTTTACCTGTGTTTTAAAACTCTTCTTGGCTAAACTCTACCACAAAGATTTTTTTGTACCTTTCTGTGTACCACATCCTTCACTTCATGTGAGAAGGAACAGGTGAACTTTTACTCCACTTCTTTCACTGTTATCCCACTGTTATGGGTAAGTGAAGTAAAAGTTTACCTGTCAGGGAACATTTGCAGGAGTGATGGAGAAAGGGTCAGAAACTGACCCTATGACCTGCACATTCTCTCTGTACCCATGTACCCAAATCCTCCTCTCCCTTGCACCAGGACATCTCTGACCTCCCCCAGGTGCCTCTGAGCCTTCCTGCAGCTCCTGCTGCAAATAATATTGATTATCCACCTGCAGAAATGCACCAGGAGCATTCTAGAAATCAGTAAAATCTGTAAACCTGTAGATCAGGTTCTTTGAAGTTTGGCACTGACCTTTCCAGGGAACCAGTGCCGTCCCCTGGGGAACCTGAGGAATGAGATCATCACCTGAATATCCTGAGAACAGACACATTTTCCCTGCTGGGGCAGGACCAGTGCCTCATCCTCACCACCCAAACTCAGAGCATCTGCTGTCTCCTCGGGAAGAGGTGCTAAGGGCTGTCCCAGGAACCCAAAACGTGGTTTGATGTTCTTTGGTGAGGACAAAGTGTGTCCTACAAAAACTGGCTCAGGATCCCTGGAGGGAAGGACAGTGCAGCCTCTGGGTCTGCTCACAGAAGCCAACAGAAGGGAATGGGAAGGGAAGTAGGTTTAATCCCAGGCTTCTCAGTGGCTGCTAAAGAATCTTCTGAACCAAGGAAGAGGAAGAAAACCAGGAAGAAAAAATGTTTGGGTGGGTTGGGTTTTATTAATAGTGGCAGAAGCACAGTGAGGAAGCCCCTGAGGAAGTGCCTTCGACCTGAGCAGGAGTGTGTGGTGACAGATCACTCCAAGGGGCTTTTGGGAACCTGCCAAGCTGGTGCCAGTGTGGGAGACCACAGACCTGGCGTGTGCCACTGATGGTCCTGAGTGCCTGAACAGGCACCACCACACACACTGCCTTAAACTGCCTCCTTCGAGGCTCAGACTAAAAAACCACTTCAAAACTGAGTTTAAAAGAGACCATGTGGGCCATCACCTGCCTCCCAGGAGCTGTTCATGGCCCTGGGGAGGGCTGTGTGCCCCAGCACAGCTGGTGTTGCCCAGCAGACTCATCTGGTACCCAGTGTCACTGCAGCACAGCACCAGTCATGCTCCAGCAGTGCTGTACCTGCACTCTAGTCTGGCATTTCTGGGTGCTTTACTTGGGGACAACAGATCCTGCTCCCCAAAACTCTCTGCTCCCTCTCCCTCTGTTATTTTCCAGCCATATGGGTCTGAGCTGTCCCTCAAGCTGGAACCTGTGCCCTGGCCAGATAAACCATCACAGGGTACAATCCTGACCCAGCCCAGGACCTGCAGGAGGGGAACAGGTAGGAGGGCAGCCTGGCACCCAGGGATGCTCAG